TCTAGTCAGTATGCTTTTTTGTTTGCTGTCAATGTTGTTTCAAGTACTCACAGTGGAATGTTCTGCACTATCCTTTTAAACAGGTAAGCAAACAAGTAAAACAAATACAGTACATACTCCCAAGGAGTATTCTGTGCTTTGTCTCCATTGTCCCCAAAATTGTGCTGAAAATCACCATCCATTCCTAGCATTCTGTCTAATCCCTCAGCTCTGATTCCACATGTAGCTTCCTGTGTTGTACGTGTCATACTGAAATTGCTGAAAGTCTTTGGGAAGTGCATATGTAAAGTTGAACAGAGGTTATATATTTAAAAGATTCTTGAAAATAAATAGTGAGATACATGAAGACATCATTTAATGACTAATCATTAGAATAAGAGTGATCCATGGGATGTTCAAGATTAAAGGCAATGTTTCTGTGGAATGCTCATTCTGAGCATATACTGAAGTTCATATACTGAGGTGTCTCTCTCAAGGTTCAAAGTATTTCACAACACCTACACTTTATTTCATTTCTTAAATTTTTTAAAAATTCATTTGTCATATAAAATGCAGTAAAAATGCCTGTCAATATTCACCTGCAGGTCTATGAATTTCTAATGACTAATGCTGTGTCTTTCTTTCCAAATTCCACAGTGAGATTCCTGGCAATTGCTAGGTATTTCAAAAATGTGTGTTAAATAAAAAAATAAATGGCTTATTTTATCATAAGTCTATTGTTTCAATTCTGAACGCATGGAAATATAAGACCCAGAAAATACTACATGTCATTTTTTTCCCATCAACTCTTCCAATGAAAGATATTTGAAAGTTGGATATCCACACTGTTATCTGAAAATGTTAGAATCATCTCATAGTGTATTCTAAATACATGCTATGTTTAACCCTTTTTAAAAATACATCAAATGACCTTCATCCATAAAATTATATTTATCCAACAATACAAATAGTTATTTAGGTGAAGATTTCAGCACTTAAAAGAAAAATAACAAGGACTGACCAATGTACACTTCACAGGATAAAATTTTTTCTCACTAATCTTTTGGGTTAAGCAATTTATACATTGATACGATGTGCTTCTCACTATGTTGTCAGTGCACCATACAACTACTAAAAATGTAGAGAGAAAATATGAGTGAGGAAAACAAACAATGAAGAGAAACTCAAATAAAAAACAGTTACCTCTATTGCAATGACTTCACTAAACTGTTAACATTTTTACCATGATAGTATATCTTTAAAAATTGAAAGTATTTTTAAAAACCTTATTGCTAAGTAGTCACATGATCATAAAATTTGAAGAACAAAAATGGCTATGACTTGTCAAATTGGAAAAGTCATATAAAAATACAAATTTGCATTTTTGTAAACATCAAAAGTAAATTCACTTTTTACTAAAGCCTGAAAAATATGTAACTGAATTTACCTTTAGGCTCTGCTACTCTGGTGAAGAGAGACTTGGCATGCCAGCCCACGAGGCCATAGGGAGAGTCACTGGGCAGAGTAGTTATCACGGACTTGTTTCTTTTCTGATCAATAGTAGCACCTTTTGATGGGTCCTCAACCCCTTCTGTGGCAATTCGGGTTAGTGTTATGGTCACAACCTCTGATAACTCTGGTATATCATCAGCAAGAACAGTTAGAGTAATTGTAGACAGTGCCTGGCCTTCAGTAAATGAAATCTAAAATTTTAGAGAAAGATTTTATTTATCCTGTCATTATCACTTTGCAGTAAGGATATTAAAAAGTTTGATTTTCTTTCAATTATGATACAATTTAACAAAGAGTTTAGCAACAATATGTTATTATACAAATAAATAGCTTTTACATTAAAAATAAGAATGATAGGAAAAAGAAAAAGTAAACCATCTCTAAACCTAAGCTAATAAATCATATAGTCAAGTTGTCATATCCTGGAGCCTATATTTCTTTCTAATTTAGTGTACAAAGTCTTTCTGAAAATCTGCTAGATAACACATGTAAAGTTCTATAAAAATAAAAGAAGGCGGCATGCCAGCTTAAACATTGTTCTCTATAGAATTTTTGTCAGGATTGCTACTCCAGATAGAAGCAACACTTAACAATGAATCAACCGAAGGAAAGAGAGAGAGAGAGAAAGGGAGGGAAGAAGAGTAAGAGAGGGAGAGAGGGAGAGAGGGGGGTAGAGAGGGAGAGAGATAGAGATAGAGAGAGAGAGAGAGAGAGAGAGAGAGAGAAACACAAATCATAGCATCTCTCTCCTTCTCTGTCTCCATTGTCTAAGGAGACAGATCCTAATTTGCTAAAAGGCATCTGAAGTCCCTGTTGACCAGAATTCTGTCAGCTTCTTGAATGCTATTTCCCATTATGCCCACCTCATACCCACTCTCCAACAATATGGCTACAAACCACAATTATTCAAATTGGTATTACAAGCCTATGCATCTACCCCTGTTGACGTGCACCTTGCCACTCAGGGAAGGCACTGGAAGATATAAACCCAAGAGCTTTATTAATAAAATCAGGAGTGAGAAAACTACTGCCTACTGGCCAAATCCTTTTTTCATAAATGAAGTTTTATTGGAATACAGTCAAGCTTATTCAATTGCATGCTGTCTATGACTGCCTACATTGTCTACTTTATATCATCTAGCACAACTGTGCAACAAAGGCAAACTAGTTGTGAGCGAGAACAGATGGCTAAGAAAGCCTAAAATATTTACTATCTATCCTTTACAGAAAAAAGTTCTTATTCCTGAGTAAAATAATTAATTATTTCAATAATATAGCATACATTTTGGGTAATACTATGCACTAAATTACAAATAATTGTATTCATGCTTTTATATGAAATCTTAATTGGAAATATGTAATTCAGAAATACGACTTAGAGTCTTAGTAGCTTGCATGAAGTAAATATGAAATTCAATGGAATTTGCTATAACATTCCTTTTTTAAAGTTTTTTTATAATATTTTTTAATTGTAGATGGACACAGTATCTTTATTTTATTTATTTTTATGTGGTGCTGAGGATCGAACCCAGTGCCTCACACTTGCTAGGCAAGCGCTCTACCACTGAGCCACAACCCTAGCCCTGCTATAACATTCTTAATACACTGAAATTCCACTCACTTTTCAAAATAAATGAAACTAGAAATGTGGACTATAATAATCAATTTTCCTTTTGGGGGATATTGCCATAAAAGTTTTTTAAAAATAATTCTTCAGAGAAGCATTTGGGCAAAACAAAACAAAAAACTTGACTAATCTATAAAACCCAAGGCAAACCAAGGAGACAACCCATCTTGCACATCAGACAAGAGGCTTCCTGAAACCTCTTTCTGTGAGTCATCTACTTCTGTGGCCATCCTGATTCCACTCTTGCACCTGAGCTCCAAATTTATACTGTCCTCCAGTTAATGCTAATGTGATCCTCTACCCACATCTCTTCTTGGGACATACAACCCCACAGCTGCTGGGAACAATAGCATATATGCTCCTCATTGGGAATGGTCCTTACATGCAGCAAATGTCTCACCCAAGATTATGCCCCACTAGAAGGTGGCATGAAGTAAAGAACTACAAAAATGGGGAAGTCAATGGTCCAGCCCTAAAATTGGAATGACTCCAAAGGATCAGCTGGACTGCAGAACTCTCCCACAGGATCAACTTCAATTATAACTGCCCATAGATCAACTTCTCCCCCTCCACTTTCTTCTCTTCCTCTTTTTCTTATGAATGCAACTCAAATAAACCTTCTGCCCATGGTTCCCAACCTCTATCATTATACAACATTGATATACCTTTTCCAGAAGGTTGATTATTTTACCCAGGCTTATTCTTACTTACCAGCCTCCCCCCCATTTTATCTAAACATTAATAACATGTTTCCATCCACAGTTTGGGTGGCTTTATCTTTCTGACAATGTAATACTAAAAATTTGATATATTGAACCTCAAGAGGGATAACTATTCACAGATAATTTGGGTTTTGTAGAAAAAAGGAACAATAACCATAGCAACAAAACTAACCTCAAATTGTATTTCTCTCTGTGGTAATTTGTAAGAATTCAGTGTTGACATTTCATCACTGAGGCAGGATCTGGTCTCATATATGAACAGTAATCATAATTTGTATGTGTCTTCTACAATTTTTGAACATTACATACCACTCCTGAGGTAGGAAATATATCATCAATACTTCCATCAGCTTCCCATGCTACAGTTATACGGCCATATGTGCCTTTTAAGCGCTCAACATTCAAGGTTACCAGGCTATCTTGCTCCATTTCTTCTATTTGCTTAAATAATGAATTCTGAAAAATACACCAAAAAGTCACAAGGATTGACTTGAAATCACCTAAATATAGTCTTTTCTTAATTTCATGTTATTATGCTTTTGTAGATTTCATGGTAATAAGCAATGTGAAACAGTAAATTAAAATAACAGTTAAAAAATAGTAAAGTAAGAATGACTATGATTTTAATTTTAAACATACAGGTTTAAGTAAATAAAATACTAGTCAATAAAGATTTAATTTTATAGGATTATTTTTATTTTTGTTCTATATTTTTCAAATTTTGTTGAGTGAACATATTATTAATTTGATAATCAGAAAGCATGTTCTTTTATAAAATAGTACTTATAACATGTAAAAAGTTTGTAGAATGGAAAGGACATGGAGTCAGGTGAGCAAGAAGCCTTTCCCCCAGAGTAAGGTCTGGTAATCCCTCTAGGTCTGTTCTTCCTAATGGTAAAATGTGTTGGACTTTCAAGGTCTCCAGCTCCCACCCCAGTGCAGCACATCATAAGAATGAAGGTGCTCCTTCCAATCATTTGCAAATGTAACTTTATGCTTAAATTCACATCCTCTAACCTATTTCTGTTCATGGTGTTTCATATCTACCTCACAAACCTTACAACTATTTTACCAGACAGAAATCTTCCTTTGCTTTATATTAGAATTTCTTTCTTCTCACCTATGCTTCCTAGACTCTTACCATTTTTCCAAATTAATTTGTACCTCTGTGACTTAATATTCTTCACTGAACACACAACAGAAGATCTCTTGCCAGCCATTTAATGAAATTTCCTTCAAATGAATATTTTGGTTATTCCTTTTTTCCATTTTTTCTTTGGTTTTTCAGGGTTATTAGGAAAAAATTTTGGGTTTTTAAGGTTTTTTTCTTTCCAGTAAGATTTTTCATGTCTTTTTACTATGATAATCTGAAAAGAGACTCCCCCATTAATTTCTTAAAGCTTATGAAAGCTTCTATTTAGAATGCTAATTTCAGTAAAGATCCTATCCTACAGTAATACTTCACACAGCATTTTAACAAATTGTTACAGATGTTATAGAGTAATAAAATCTTGCTCAAGGCAAACATTCCTGAAGAAAATGCCTTGATTTTAAAATATGCATATAATTTATTCAGAAAAGACAATGCCTTTTTAAAAGAAAAAAAATCCTCTCTGGCTCTATATTTTCCATAAAGGAAGGTTAGTTAAATGAAGTCTTCATGCATCCAGAAATATTCAAGATATTCTTGTCATCTATTACACCTCATCTTGAAAGGAGACTGTCCAGACAAAAAAGAGCTGTGTTGAGAAATTCTGAAAGGACTAAAAGAATCCAGGGTACTTACCTTGGCATGGTGAAACCACAGTGATTTAGTGTCTCTAGGCAATTTTGAAACAAGGTTCCTAAAGTGGAATCTACCGTGCCCATACAATTGAGGATAGTCTGTGCTCTCTATCTGCAGAACAGCTTCAAGGTAAGAAGATGGACATACGCTGCAGAACATGAGGGTTCTTGTCCCAGTAATGCAGCTCTGCTCTACATACTTGTCTGTTGTCCTGCAAAGGCTGTGGAAATGTTCTGTACCCCTCCACATGCAATGACATGATCTTACATCCCCCAAACTTGCTCCTCTCACAGTTGTTCATATCTTGGGGAAGGGTAAATTCATGCTTCCCATAGCTCTGCTTATTTGCTGAATTACTGCAATAGTCTCCTGAATTACTGCAATAGTCTCCACACTCCTGTGGGAGTGTCCTTCCCACTCACAGTATGTGTTCAATATTATAGTCAGAGCATTCTTTTTACAATGAATCAGGTCACACATTTCTTCTACCCTAACCCCTCCAAAGGCTTCTAAGAGGGCAAACTCAGTACGATGCTAAATAAGGGACTTGTGTACAACAATATTGACATAGCAGTCCTGATTATTGTCCCTAAAAAGGCCAGCTCACAGGCTGGTCCTCAGCTAGTGTTTGGGAATATGAATTTTGGGAGGGTTCCCACCATTCTCAGAACTTCTGTTTTTGGTACTGGAGGATGAACTCGAGGATACTTTACCACTGATCTATGCCCCAAACCCTTGTATTTTTTATTTCTAGAGAGGATCTCCAGGAGAATCTTTGTCTTTTGATCTTCCTGCCTTAATCTCCTGAGAGAATGATAAGATATGCACCACCACACCCTTCTCTATTCCCAGAGCTCTCAAGTTGCTCCCTGTGCCCAAGCTATTTGTACAAATAATGTGATTAACTAACATCTGTTTTCCTTCTGGAAGTGTAGAATTTTGGTATGTGCCAGGCAGATGGTAACTACATGACCAACTGCCAATTAAAACTTTGGGCACTGAGTCTCTAGTGAGCCTCTGGTTGGCAAAATTCCACATGTTGTAACAACTGGATGCTATGGAAATGAGTATGTCCTGTGAGACTCTGCTGGGAGGGGATTCTTGACAGTTTACACCTGGTTTCCTCTGACTTCACCCATGAGCATTTCCCCATGGAGAATTTTGAGTTTGTATCCTTTGCTTTCATGAATCATAGCTATGAGTATGATTCAACACTAAGTATATGAGTGCTCCCAGTGAATCATCAAAACTATGGATGGTCTTGGGATCACAGACCCCTGACTAGCCTCCTGGACCTATCTCCCCCTCCTACATTGACTGTAGCCAGTGACTTCCTTGTTGCTCTATAAGGACAAGAGGGCACTGCAGGCCTCTCCTCTTGGTGATGGGTCCCTGTCTGAACTGTTACTACCCCAGATATCAATATAATTCAATTTTCAACCCCTCCAGGCCTATGCCCTTCTGTAACTCCATACAGCCCTTCCTGACCATTCTATTTTATATTTCCTATATACAACCCACACCCCTTCTTTCATGCTCCATATGCCTTCTCTGCCAGATGCTTCTCAACAGCACTAGCACCGTCAGATATAGTACATGTTTTATTGTATCTTTGTCTATTGTCAGTGTCTCCTTGATCCCCTCTAGGATAATGAAGGTAGAGATTTTTATTGTTGCATTCTCTGACATCTTTAACATCTGGCAGAATATCCAGAACATAGTGTTTATTAAATATCTGCTGCATTTATGGAATAAATGAAAACCAACTGATCAGGTTTGTTGCCCAGTTCTGGTCAATGAGAGATAAGAAGTTTTTGAGAGGCTTTGGAAATTTATTCTTTAATCAAAATGGGATATAAAGTATCTTTCTGTCCCCAACTGGACATGAATAAAAAGCAGTAGCCCAAATAATAATATCAGTTTTCAAACAACCAATGAAGGATCCATTTTGAACTAACAAAGTAGAGATTGATAGCAATCTATTGATTGCTATTGGTAGCAATCTATTGACACAGTACAATTTCCAACTGCTTTCTCTGTGGACATGCTCTTAACATTTAAGCTAATATAAATTAAGTTTTCCTTATATGTAGAAGATTTCAGAGGAAGAGAGATAATAGCTGTAGATATAACTCTAGTTCAAAAGTCAGAATACACCTAACAAATATAATACATGATGCAACATAAATGGCTGTTCTTTTGCTCACTGGCAAAAGCTGATAAAGGCTGTGTGTGGAATATATCTAAAAAGATTAGCATGGCTGGTTTTCCTCAAGACAAGACATCTGCATGTGTGCAATGCACATATAGTTATATCTCTCTTCCATCCTCCCCACAATAATAAAATTTTATGTGATATGTATGACATAACACAGTGTATAGTGTATTAAAGAGTCTATCTCATCATTGCCCTCTGGTTAAAAGGCTAACAGCAGAGCCAAACTCCTGGACCAAGAACAATTAATTTCAAATTGAAATAAAAAGAATAACTACAAAAAAAATTAGGACAAGTTGATCCAGAGGCCCCATTGTGTAAGACAGCAAATTCCAAGATGCCAGCAGAATTCACCTTAGAATGCAGAATGGGGGATAAAGCCATGGCAAAGGAAAAGAGAACGGCTGCAGGGAGTATGACTCACTCACCAGGTGCAGAAAAGTCCTAATTTATAAATGAGAATGAACAAATCACTTTGACTTGTGAGTATAAAATCCTTAGTATCATTACCTGAGCAAATCCAACAACTCCATAGGCATCATCATTAGACAGAATAGTTATTTTCACATAGCCATTGCTACCAATCTCTGCTCCACCTTTGGGATTTTTAAGCTGAACTTTGAAGGATTCTTCTTCTTCTGGAACTACATCATCAAGAATATTTACTGCTATTGTAGCTTCTCTGTCCCCAGGTTCAAATATCAGTTCACCTGAACTAGCATAAGAAGCGTACATAAAATAAGTTAACGACAACAAATTTAAAATACACACATACTAGATTACTCATGAAACACATTACATTGAGTAATATTAAAGTTTTGGAAGAATAACATTTCATAAATAAAGTTTTAATTAAAATTATGTATATAGTATTGAAGAACTTCATAGAATTCATATTAGAGATATGGATAACATCTCTATTTCTGGTTTAAAATAGCTGTTCTATTTTATATATTCCTCAGTCATTGAGACTTAGAAATCTGATGCCATATGAAATTTTAGTGAGCATACAGACACCTAGCATAAGTGTTGGACCTACCTAGGAATAAAGTCAGACTGGCTGGAGATGTAGGCCAGCTCATACATGTGTGACTGGGCAGCTCCCACAACAGCAATTAAATTCTTGCTTGAATTAAGGGACTTTACTGTAACAGAATATGCATCCTGAGCAGAAGGTGCTTCCAGAACAAATGAGAACTGATTCAGCTCTGAATTCCAGCAGTAAAGAGCAGACCCTTCTTGGCCAAGTACAAGTATGTGGACTGCAACAAAGAAAGAAAAGGCATCTGGGGTGAAAAGTGAACTCTTTCATACTGTCTCCCCGATTTCCAAAGCAAAACTTTTCCTAAAGTTCCACTTGGACATCTCAAATTAAGTAAATATAATGCCATTTCTAAAAGTACCTAAATATAAATAATAATTTATGAGTGCTGTGGAATTATCAATCCAGCTGGACAATGCACCCACATGCATTTAAGAGAAATGAAAACATTGTCTGGTAGCACTCACATGGGTTTTGTATTCTTAAATCTATCTCAATATCTATTTATAAGTACTTTTTAAAATATATATATATTTTTAGTTGTAGTTGAAAACAATATCTTTATTTTTATTTTTCTGTGGTGTGAGGATGGAACCCAGTGCCTCATACATGCTAGGCTAGTGCTCTACCACTGAGCCACAACCACAGCTCCTATAAGTAATTTTTTTTAAGTAAAAAAATCCATAATCACACCAGTAAATGTTTTAATTTTTATATTTTCCTCTCTAGTCACTATATTAATTTATATCTGACAGTTATAAATAGTAAAAAAAATTGTATAAAAAAATCTAACTTAAGAATTTTATCCCATATTTATAGTTTTACACAGGATTATATGTTTATATGTTGCTGTGTAGTATATAAATTCATAATTTTAATGCATAGATAATAATATGTAGGGTTGATCTTCAAGATATATTTAATAATTTCCCTACATTGGCTATCTGTTGTTTTACATTTCATTTTCAATATTAAGACAGAATTTTTATTATTTCAATAGATAAATTATTCAAGGTTATTAGGCCAAAGTGTATGAACAAATTCATGACTCCTAAAGTATATTTTGCCAATGCTTTTTGAAATGTTATCAGAAAAGTGTATTTTTATTAAATTCAAAGCAATGTCACACATTAGTATCTACAGAAGTTGGGAAGGAAGAAGGCATACATGTTATATATAATACTAAACAATCTTGAGGCTTAATACTGGCCAATGTGGGTAGGGGGTCCATATAGAAACATCCAAATTCCATCACTTAGAGAAACTCAATGGATCATAAACTCCCAAATAAAACTGATTGAGTGTTAAAATAGCACATGGGACCAGAAAGCATGACGGTCTTCTAAACTGTTAGCCCATAAGTTATAGTGGCAAACCCCATAACCTTACTGCTACATATCAAGAACTACTGACCATATTTGTTTACATCAATTAATTTAAGTACTATTATAGTTTGTAAAGTTGTGTAAAAGACTAAGAAAAGTCTTATTAACACACATGAATCTTTAACTATCCATATATTTTGCATAAAGCTTTATAAAACTGGAGATATTCAGAAAAAAATAAAACTCAAATGGATCTGAAAGCCCTCAAATTTAGCTGACACAGTCTCAACCAAGATCAAAACTAGAGTGATCTGAGCACCACTGATTTTGGTTCTCCACCTTCATAGATATTCCCTATTCACTTCTCAATTGGATTGGTATGAATAGGAAACAAGTTGATAATGAGATGTTCACATTAAAAATATGGGTGCTCAAATCTACTTACAGATACTCTTCAACTTGTAATGAAATTATGTCCTGATAAATCCATAATAAGTTGAGAATAGCATCAGTCAAAATGCATTCAATACTGTTAACCCACTGAACATCACAGCTTAGATTAACCTGCTTTAAATGTGCTCATAAAAAGCCTCCAGTTGGGCAAAATCATCTAACACAGAGTCTATTTTATAATTAAATATTGAATGTCTCATATAACTAGTTGACTACAGTACACCGCACAGAATGCAATCTCTGCTGTTTGCACCGTGATTATGGGGCCAACTGGAAGCTGCACTCCTTGCTGCTGCCCAGCATTGCAATCATGCTGCATATCACTAGCCTTGGAAAAGGTCAAATTTCAAAATATACAGTATGGATTTGATTGAATATATATCACTTTCACACCATCATCAAGTCAAAAACGGAAAATCCTAAGCACAGCCATTTTAAGTCAAGGGTCATCTATATATACATATAATGAGTATTTCCTCAGAAAGTAAACATTTGTAACATTTCAAAAGCATGAAATTGGGTCAGAGAATTGATAACAAAAAATCTTAAATCTCTACTCTGGTACATGGAAGTGTAACTAGTACTCATACTCTTCCATTTAGCAAAACAATAAAAAAAAAAGGCAAAAGTTATCTCAAAGAAAGCCAACCAGACAAGACAGTTTAAGAAGTGTAGATAAAGAGAAGTTTGAGTACTGAATGGTAGAAAGTAAGTATTCTTAACATTTACAGATGTGAGACTTTAAGAATGAAGACAGTAAGAGACAGTGTGGCCAGGAAGAGCTACAGAGGGAGCAGCAACATCAGGAGAGAACTGAGTTCCAGCGTAAAGAGAAGGGAAGATTTTGAGGAAGGTCTGAGATAACAGTCTATCTGTTCCACAGGGCCTTATGGGAGCATGTGGGGAGTTGAGGGAGGTGGGACTGGGCATCTTGCCTAGACATCAGGGTTCCTGTGGTCTACAGGATGTACAGACCAAATGAGGATGAAAGTCTCTTCACCTCCATGTGCCCTGGACTTCTCATGAAGACTAAACAGAGATGAAGAGAGCAACCATTTATTCCAGATGATTTCCAAAAAGGATGATGTCCAGAGGTCATAATTTTGGTGAAGCTAACAGTTGGGGGACTAAGAAAGGAGGGTTAAGGGGCCTTCCAAGCAGTATACAGAGCTTTGAGGTTTAAGTGAGATTTAAAAGGGGGGGGATGCTAAATAGGCCCTGGAACATAATAAACATTCAGTTTTTAAAGGCTATCGATTTCCTTATGTTCTGAATCCCTTACCCACGTATACTCTTTTACCAGCCCTTTAAAAAGTGGAGTTCAACAAGGTTCAGTTTGAGTTCTTTTTCTCATACTACGTAGTCTCTTTCTAGACCATTCTCTCTCAGCCTATACTAAAATGATCCTCTGCACTTAGTGACTTCCATTGTTTATCTGTGACTAAGGATTCTCTTCTAAACTCCAACCAGTAATATTTACTCAAAGGCATCTCAAACTCAACATATCCCAACCAAATTCATTATCTTTGCCCCAGAAAGGCCCAGTCCTCCCCCATGTCACCCCCATGATAGTTGTTGTATCATGTTTCCATTACCTGCAGAAATGAAGGCTCTTGACAACCTCTCTCTCACCTACCCCAAACATCTTGCTGACCATCAACTCTTCCGGATTTCACTCATGAGATATCTGAATCAATCTACTCCACCTGCATCACCAACTTATTTTCCACCTGCATCACCTACCACTTTCCAAGCTAGCTCTAGTCTAAAGTATGTGTCTCCAGAGTGTCTTCAAATACTTTTTCTTAGTAGCCTCTAAGTTTTTCTACCATGACAGCAAAAAGCTCCCCTTTAAAACAAACACACA